GATTATATGGCATTACGACATGACATTTGCATGATAGTTTTTTTGTGAGTTTGCGTGCTTCTTTTCGGCCTTTTTTTGTTTGTGTTTTTATGTTATTAGGTCATGCAACATGCTCTTGCCATCATTACAAGTTTACAAATCATATATATATAAAATATCTCTTTCTCTTGCAAACACATCAACTTCACCTGCCAAACTAACCACTATTTTACATCTCATATTATATATATATATATACTATATATATATATACTATTATTTGATTAGAAGTAGAAAAGAAAAAAACCAAAAATCAGACGAATCAAAAAATCGATTCAAAAATTGGTTTTTCTGGTTTCAATTTACCACATTTTATAAACCGAATAATCGGTTCAGTTTTAGTTTTTTAAAATAACAAAAAGGTTAATCGAACGGATTTTTAAACCGTTTAATAATAAAAAAAAATTTATATTTTTCAGTTTTTAAAAAATTATCCTCTTCACTAATGTGCATTTTCCAAAATTCATTTTTAAAAATAATTTTATATTTGCCATTTTAAAAAAAAATTATCTAGGTCTTCACTAATGTAATTTTAATTATTAAACTTGATGTACATTAAAATTATATGAATTCAAATTATTCAATTACAATAAATAAACTTAATTCAAGTTTAAAAAAACCTGGAAAAAAAGGGCCAAAGTGGAGGGTTTGACCGAATTGGGCCGAACAAAGTAGCCCATTATATAAACGGTTAACCGAATCGAATTTTTGATTCGGTTTAAACCGGTTTATTAACGGACCAGTTTCGTTCAATTTTTTTTTAAAACCGAAAACTGGTTCGGTTCAAGATACCGGTTAACCAGTTTTTTTCCCCTAATTTGTTATAAGAAAGTTGTTATAAAGTGATGGACCATCATGAGTGTCACGTGACATGAGGGTCACATAACATTAATGTGACATTAAGTTACGTGGATCCCAATACACATGACATGTTTTGTGACATGCCAGTCAGTTTGTATTAGGGTGTTCGATTCTGCGTACCTTGCATTTTTTTGAAGGAACTGAAACCGGAACCGACGGTTCCTTGAAATTTGAACCGGAACCGACGGTTCCGGTTCTAGGTACCCAGAACCGGAACCTGTAACAACGGTTCGGTTCCGATTCTGAGTCCTGTAAAATTACATGACCCCAAAAGCTTTAAAATGACAAAAAAACCCTTTAAAACTTACAATACTCCCACCTGGAGCTTGTTAACAAAAATAAAATATAATTATAAATTCAAAATTACAAACTCCATTACTTTGTAAAAATAGATTCTCAAAAGCCAAACCAACTTACTTTAAATGTTATGAAATATAATATAATGTATTCATATTACTTTTTCTACAAAAGTTTTATTAACCCCTACTTTTTAATTATTTTATATTAGTCTCGGTTCCTGTTCCGTCTGGCCTAACTATAAGAACCGAACCGTCACAGTAACGGTGCCAAAAATTTGGAACCGAAACCTACCCGTTGACGGCTGGTTCTGGGTAGGAACCGAACCAAACCCGGGTACCCGCCGGTTCTGGTTCCAATCGATTTTTTTGAACACCCCTAGTTTTACAAACATTTTTTGTATAAGAGTTTGTACAAATAGCATTACTCATATATATATATATATATATATATATATATATATATATATACTATATATATAATATATATATATATATACACACATCTCCTTATCAAAGAAAATCCTTTATATATAATTTGTTTCTTCTTCTAATTTCAAATAACTTCATCACCCGATATTTTCGATAAGGCACTTGTTTTTACCTTATTTGCTGACATGGGTTTGCAGGTTTTGGACGATCATGATGTGCAGTTAACCATTCCTTTCAATTAAGGATCTTTGCGTTTGTTTTTTTTCTGTTTGTCCAGTCAAATGAAGTTGCTTTTGAGAACTTGTAAATGTACTTCTAGTCCTGGAAGTGTTTAGTTTGAATGTTTCCATGGCTTAATTGGAACCCGAGATTTGTCCAAAATTTAATGGAGCTACTGAGGCAACTGTAGGATTAGAAGGATGGGATTCTGTGTTTTCTGGAGATTTAGTGATGATCAAAGGTCAGTTAATTTATATAAGAAACTATGTATATCAACTATCAATTATATTCTCTTCTTCATCTTTTCGTGATCTATGTTTATGCTTGTAGATCCGGGCGCTTACATTATTAATACGAACTCTTTGAGTTTATGTATGAGTGGATGGATTGCTGTTGTGCTGGAATAAGATAATCAATAATACTAAACAGATTAATGGCGGAGAAGAGCTTCATTTTCCAAGTTTCTCCAGTTCTTTCTGTAGGGATGTTATAATTCAGCATCCAAGAACTAAATATGCAAATTTCGTCAGAATCATATAAAAACATTCAATTTTGCGATGCCATTCTCTTCTTCACAGTCTGCACAGTAACAAAATCCAATCCCTTTAAGGAAGCTATTTCGTTGCACTTTTCCTCATTAAGACATGGAGCATTTGGCCCACAAAATGGAGGAAAGTCTCAATCGTTGAAATTTTTTCTCCTTGGCGGATAATTTCTTGTTACTGAATTCTTCCGACTGTTATTAGAAAATCTGACATATCTTCTTCACAAAATCCGGATTTCCATAGTCATATTTTCACCTGAGTCCTTTGAATGCTCTGTTGTTGACCATTGTTAAAAAAAAAAAAAAAAAAAAAAAGAGGACATACGAGTATCTGAAAGTTCTGTACCATTCGAAATTATAAACAAAGAAGATTCAAGGAGATAAATTAGTGATTCAATTGTAGATAACTAGTGAATTCAATTACAATTGAACAATAAGTATCTTCCTTGAGTCTCTTTACCTCATAATTCCGACACATTCATATCTTTGATCGGACATTGTCGTTGATAGAATGTATGTGTATCCATTACACATTTTTCTATTTTAAAAATTGTTGATCTAACATTACTTTCCTCGCTATAATTTCCAAGAAACAGTTTGGATTAGGGTCTTGATACCAATGGTGGAAGGACTGATTGTGCCGTTAGCAACTAAAGAAGTATACGTTACCCTCTCTACTTATTCTTTTTGTTTAACATATAAGATTAATTTGAGAAACCCAACGAGCTAGACACTGGCTATAATTGCTTGGTTTTGCATGTTGCATGGTATTTAAGTTTCATGATAATTTCAGGTACCTGAAGATCCACATGCGATTGATTTTATCACAGCGCAATGCAACATATCAATGGAGCAGGAAGCTGCAATGATCAATACAAGCAACATGGATGCTAATTTCTCATCACCAGTTAATAATGTGAATGAGATGAACAATGATATTCATTTGGCGCCACAAGTTTCAACAGCGTTAGAAAATTTAGATCATCATCAGGTTCCATATGATATCTCTGTTGGTCGAATTCGTTTATGCAGTAGTACTACTACTTCTCCAATGAACTTCTTGCAGCAATTTAATTTCGCCACTACTGCCTATGAAAATAATAAAACCAGAACTACTGATGTCTTCTTTGAAGGACCACATCATGATCAACATCATCATTTACTTTCTGATAAGCAAATGAACTCGTTTTATTCTTCATCACAATGTGGGATGATTCATCAAGAGATGGATACACATAATGCATTGAATAATTCAGTAACTACTATGCATATGCAGTTCATGGAGCCTAATTTGGCCAACGAGGAGCAGCTACAAGGGAATGAAAAGGACTCCGAACAAACCGGAGACTGAACAGTCAGATTCAATCTCAGATTGCAGTGACCAGATTGATGACGAGGTTGATGCCAAGTATCGGAGGAGAACAAGGGACCTCAATCTAGAAACCTTGTAGCTGAGAGGAAAATAAGGAAGAGACTCAATGATAGGCTTTATGCTCTTCGAGCTTTGGTTCCCAAAATTTCAAAAGTAAATCATCCTTTCTTTAATTATCATCTTTTATCTTCTAACGATAAATAAATTGTAACAGTATTATAGAATGATTCGATGTTCGATGTTTTCAGTTGGATAGAGCTTCGACCCTTGGAGACGTGATAGAATTTGTGGAGGAGTTGCAAAAGCAAGCGAAAGAGCTTCAACATGAACTGGAGGAGCATTCAGATGATGAAGGGGGCGCCAAGAACAATAATGCGAGCATAAATGGGAACCACAACATCGTGAAGCCGGAGGTTTTCAGTCAAAGTGGAACCATTCTCGGGCCTAAAACTGAACATGATAAAACTTCAAATAGGTTTCATGTGGTTGCAGCTGCTTCAGGTAATGGCAGTACTCTTCCTAAACTTCAGAAGCAGGACTTAGAATTCACTAATGACAAGACACAACAAATGGAGGTAACGAACTCTAAATATAACATCTTCTTCTTCTCTTAAATTAGGCTTTCCATATGTCAATTTTATTGTATGGAGCAAATGTACATTTGAGGTGCAAGTTGAAGTGGCTCAATTAGATAGAAATGAGTTCTTTGTTAATCTGTTATGCGAACATAGGCCTGGTGGATTTGTAAGATTAATGGAAGCTTTGAATTCATTGGGTCTGGAAGTGACAAATGCAAATATAACCAGTTTTAGTGGAGTTATTTCTAATGTGTTCAAAGTAGAGGTAAAATTATGAACACGTTTTAGATAGCAAAATTAAACTACTCTCTTAATATTAATTGTTCTAATTATTATGAACTTCTTGGTTGCAGAAAAAAGATTAACGAGATGGTTCAAGCTGATCATTATGAAGGATTCCTTGCTGGAGCTAGCAAGAAACCCGTGTAGAGTATGCCTCATGAGATGGCAAAAAGCCAAAAACTTCAGAATGCATCAATGGAGTGGAGTATAATCCTCCTCATCGCAGCACCTTAGAGTTTGACCATATAAAGAAGACACTTCTTTGACCTTAGTTTTAATCAGTTTCCCTTATGTATGATTGTCAATAAGGACAGTTTTTAATACAGTAACAATCTTTTATGGACACCTAATTAGTTTGTTTGTTCCAACACAAATAAAATTTTCTTCTTCTTGTGAAATTGAATCGGCATATCATATGGATGAAAGCTACAACAAATTTATCGAAATAACAAAATTCCCCCATCTCTTAATACAATTTAAATAACAAAACTGCAGATGAAAGAAAGAGAATCCCAAAGTTCCATCTTTGAAAACCATGGATTACAGAAGAATAATTAGTTGGTTCCACTGGTGGCAATGGAGAATCACTTGTGGAATTAGTATTAGACGAAGTAGCTTCTTTTACATTAATGCCGAACCTCATTCCTCCAAGGCAATGGCCTGCAATATTACAAATAAACCAATACTTCTTTGCCTCTTCGAGTGTGATTTGATCATTTCCACTTTCGTATTCACCTAATACTCCACTGCTCGCATCACAAGATCGATATGTCGCTTCTGTTACTTCATACACATTATGCTGCCCCTTGCTGTATTTGAAAACTGCAACAAATAATTAAAAAAAAAAAAAAAAAAAAAATCATCCAAATTACACAAATATTCAACAAGAGACTAATTAATGAGAGCGATGAAGGAAGGATTAGAGATCATACCAAGAACATCACCGACAGTGAAATTGTATTCTTGAACCCATGAATCAAAATTGACTTCTGCGTTCCAGTGTTGCTCATCACCAACTGTATAAACTTCAGACTTGATGCCCTTCAAGAACAAAAAATTAATCAAGAGAAAGAGTAGTACTATTGACCTATAATATAGGAAGATCATCATCTTATGATCTTCCATGGCTTGAAAGAAAATTAATGGAAGAACAGCAATGAAATGAATTAAGAGTATTGATGGTTGTAACTGGCTGGAGGATGTATTGAGGTTATTTCTATATGAAGCAAAGACTCAATCAAGATGTTGCAGACGGTGGAATTAAGTAATGTGATCATTTCTTTATATTTTTGGGATCGTTTTGCCTGGTTGTCAAATAATTATATAAAGCTTGTTTGTTATAACAAAGTAAAACTAGATACAAACCATAATGTTAAGATTATTGCGTTACTTAATTAACATTAATCAATAGTCAATTAGCCCATATGGGTATAGTTTATCAATAAACAAGAAATATACACGGGACCCAGTCGAGCCAAAGTCATAAATATTAGGTAATGAAAGATGGCCTCTATGTTTCCTGCTGATTAATCAAAAGTCTTCTCTTTTGTATACGTAAGATTACAAATTTATTCTCTATGAACAGGGAGAACCAACCTTAAAAGGTTGATTTGACGGTCAAAAAAATTTACTCCTTTAATTAATTTTTTTGGGTTCAAATCTTATGGTCATCTATCATATTCATAGTTTACTTTAAAATGTTGGGTTTGTAGGGTGTTTAATATTTTTTGGGGACTAGTCGAGGTGCTTGCACAAGCAGAACCACACAATATTCCAGAAGGGTTAATTGAGGTTGGTTAATAGGCATTTCTGGTTGTTTGGAATACTTCACTTTCCAGGCGTGAAGAGGGAAAGGGACATTGATGGATACATAAACTGTCCAAAATGATTGTAGGAGAAACTTGAAACAAAAGATATGATTTTTGGCTTTAACAGGAAATAATATATGCTACACATGCCATGTCAAATAAAATAAGCATTTTTCATGGTATATTTCTGTTGATACTAAAATTTGCACAAACGAAGAAATATGTAAGATCTGTGGTGGAATCTATGTAAAAGTTTATATAAAACCCGTGATTGTGATGTTGGATTGATGGATGAATGAGAAATCAAATAATAGCAAAGGAAAAGATTTTTAAAGTGGTTCGAATGCCTGATACAAATCCTAGTTCGGATCCTAATATAGATCATACGTTCACTGTTATATTATTGAATGTGTTGAAATAGTAATTTGCTTTACAATAAATTTGTAATTAGTTTTTTGCGACTTATTTCTCTTAAAAACAGATTAAAACTAAGTTTATATAATGTCAGTTACACGGTCGAGTTGGAAATAAACTCAAATTCGATAAAACGGAAGTAGCTTGATCTTTGTCCTTAATCATGGGATTCATATCCTGAGATATCTACTTGGATCTAAAAGGGAATTTATCTGTTCCAGATTCTCCGCACAACAATTTCTTTATTATTATTACATTTTTTTTTAAGTTGTAGTATTGAAATTATCTATAGCTTTTATTTTTATATAACTAGATCGTTCTATTATATAGTATTATTGGTATAATATTTTATCAAGAAAATAAATTATTGTTTTAAAGTATAATTAATATCTTTTTTTTTTTTTTTTTTGTTCTTGGCCAGTGATTTTAATAAAAGCTAAAATTGTATAACAAATATGTTAATAAGATAGTAATTGAGGTAAATAGCATCACTCTTTACTTAAAACTTTGCGGCAATTCGAAACGCCGTCGTTTCAGTAACTCAAAGCCCCAGTGCTTTCGCTCCCCTGAATCACAGCAGTCTTACTTCGTCCCAAAACCCTAAAAGCCCTAAACAAAACCACCACAAAAGCCCCAGTTCCCACGTTAAAAAATTCAACAATGGCAGGTGGCCGATTCAAAGAGCTATTTAAAAAGTACGGAAAAGTAGCTCTCGGAGTCCACTTCTCTGTCTCCGGCGCCTCCATAACAGGCCTCTACATTGCCATCAAGAACAACGTCGACGTCGAATCAATCTTCGCCACTTGGCACCTCCCCGGACTCTCAAAAAACCCGGAGGAGACTCAATCACCTCAACCCTCTGATGGGTTGATTACTATTCATGACAATACGGATTTTATTGAGGGTAATAGTAGTGTTAGTAATAAATCAACGGTTGTGATCGAAGAGGAGAAGAAGCAGAGGAATCGGACGGCTGAGCTTGCGGCGTCATCTGGTGGGGCCCTGGCTTTGGCTTTGTTATGTAACAAAGCGCTTTTTCCGATTAGGGTTCCGATAACGATCGCACTTACGCCTCCTGTGGCTAGGTTCTTGGCTAGAAGGAAGGTCATCAAGAGCAGTGTATGAAAGGTTTAATTTTAATTTTTATATATGCGGGACTTTGTTGTAATGATTTTGCTTTGGTTGGTTTTGAAGAAGGATAGAGAAGGATTAGGCTTTGAAAAATTTGAAAGTTGAAAGATTTAAATGGGAAATAAATTTACCATTTTGGTACTGCAATAGTGTTTATGGAAATTTTATACACATGAATGTGATGGTTATTGCGGGGTAAATTTTGTTATGTTTTGGTGTGTATTTAATTGAGAAGGATATAGGAATTCGATCAATTTGTGTGTTGTTTTTCTTTATGTTGATTTTGAAGAAGGATAGAGGAGGGATAGTTATTGAGATACTTGAAAGTTAAAAGCTTCAAATGGGTAACAAATTTAAAGTTTTTGTACTGCAATCATGTTTGCGATGGTTTGTGTGGGCTAAATTTTGTTATGTTTTGCCGTTTTGGTGTTTATTTGATCTAGAAAACAGAATAAATACTAGAATTTGAGTGAAAATTGGATCAATTTGGGAGAGATGGGAATGACTAGAAGGAAGAATAAAAACCTAATAACAAGTAGGCTTGCATCACTGGTAGCCGGAAAAAATTTAGGAACTAAAAGCCATAAATTGTGAAGGATAGACCCTCAAAGACTAGTAATATTGAGGGTAGGAGATGTAACATGGAACACAACTCATAAAATGGAGTACGAACTCGATAACAAACTAATGTTGCACTGATTAGCGACTGTTAGCATTGGCATACAAATTTAACTTTAAATTTTAAACTATTCATAATGAACAAATCTTCTTAACATTTTTACCAGTACAGATATTGGTCCCATTTTGTTTTACATAAGTGGAAGAACGTGGGAAAAAAAGATTCCAAACTTTGGAATATTAGCTTCAAAATTATTCACTTCAACATCTTTGCCTATTTTGAGAGTGAAAATGCATGGAACCTAAAGCTAGAAACTTGTTTGTCTTTGTTTTCCTAGTACCAAATGGAGAGTGATTGTTGGTAGTTACTGTATTGTTTCTTGATTTTGTGGTTGCTTAGTTTGGAGAGTAGCAAATTAAGAAATGAATTGGTCAATCTCAAATGTGATACAGCTATAATTTTCATATTGTACTGGTAGGATCTCTGGAAGTGGATAATTGTAAGATGTTGTTTTGTTGCATTCATAAAAGGATACAAACTTGTGCTTTTTATGGATGTGGATAATTGTAAGATGTTGTTTTGTTGCATTCATAAAAGGATACAAACTTGTGCTTTTTATGGATGTGGATAATTGTAAGATGCTGTTTTGTTGCATTCTTAAAAGGATACAAACTTGTGCTTTTTATGGATGTGGATAATTGTAAGATGTTGTTTTGTTGCATTCTTAAAAGGATACAAACTTGTGCTTTTTATGGATGTGGATAATTGTTTTGGCATCAACAATCATGTTGTGTTGTTGCATTCATAAAAAGATATGAACTTGTGCTTTTTGCAAAGTTGAATGAGATTTTTGAATTGATGTAAGGTGGTTACCAGAGATTGTAGGTTGTGTAAATTTCTGGGTAATTTACCTTGAACAAACAGATGATCAAGGTTGTTTTATAATATAAACCTTGAATAAGCATGTGTAATTCATCACAGGCCACCGATATGCTCGAGACTAATTCAACTAGTAACACACCTAATGAATAAGCGTCACCCTTCTCTTTAAGTTGATAGGTTCTGAGGTATTATGGGTTCCTTTAACTCTTGGGTTGACACACATGGTGAATCAGTGTCAGTTGCCAATCTAGCAAAACCAGAGTCTTTTACCATGGCCTGAAAGTTTTCAGTTAGTAAAATGTTGGAAGACTTTTCATGTCTCATGAAAAGCCAAAGCACCACCCACTTAGATCTCTCAACAGATTCCCAGTTTCATACCATAAAACATACGAGGATAGGAAATAGCTTGTGCTACATCAATTGCCAGATCGACGGCCAAGCGGGCCAACAACTTTCAGTTGTTTTTATTTTTATTTTATTTTTATATTTAACACATTTATTTTTCTAATTACAAATATCTTAGAGCTATATAAATTCATATAACCTGTATGTAGTTCACATATATTTGTTAATATTTCTTATAAATAATAACTAATTTTGTATTAATTATTGATTTTAATTTCATTAGTTTGATGGAATATTTTAAATTTATTGACAATTATGTAAAATACAGTCATCTGGAATCAAGTTTTTATCTACTCTACTACAATTCATTCCAATCTTAAACCCCCAAAAAAAAAAGGAATAATAGATGGTATTCATTTCTCCGCCTCTGCCACCTCTGTAACCGGTCTCTGCGACTCAACGTTGCCATCAAGAATGTAGACGTCAGATCAATCTTTTGCCACTGGACCCCGGAAGAGACTCAATCACCTGAACCCTATGATGGGTTTATTATCATTTATCAGAATAAGGGTTTAATTGAGGGCAAAGAGTAGTGTTAGTGATAAACCAGTTCTTGTGAGTGAAGAGGAGAAGAAGAAGCAGAAATCGAACAGCTGAGCTTGCGTAGATCGCCAAGGTCCTCGCTTTGGCCGTGTGGTGTAACAAAGTGCTTTTGCCGGTTGGGAGTCAGATAACGACCACACTTTATGCCTCCGTTGGCTAGGTTCTGGTATGGATGGAGGATCATCAAGAACTGAAAGTTTTTATTCTTGTTTACATTGGAATACGTCAGCGATTGTTTAGATTTAAATGGGTAATAAATTCACAATTTTTTTACTTTTTATTATTGGAATCATGTTTATAGATAAATTTTGTGATACTGGATGATAACGATCCCAATTATATGATTTCAAAATTTTATTAGAATTATCCTCAGAAATAAATTAACTCTGGCCAGATAACACCATAACACTTTACCACCATTAGATGACCGAATGATCAATTAAAATTTTTGGATGTATTACTCAAGAGGTTTTGAATTCGATTTATCTCGACTGTTAATACAGATAGCTGCTAGAGCTTACACAGTTACACCCGATTAGTAGTTTCAAGGTTCCGAGAGATTAATTGAAATACACACAAACTGACCCAGACACTCAGTCATATAAAAAAAAAAAAAAAAAATCATAACACTCTGCGGATCCAACCCAAACCTGGTTTTACAACCCTAATATGTGCAACTCCAAATCTTAGGTGTCCAGATGCATAATTAATACGATGAATGAGGATCAAAATATGCTGTTCACTGTACTGAATGCAAGAATTGGAATAAAAAATAAGAGCAAAGTAACTAGTTTAAAGTATCTGCAAGATAGCTTCTTCATGACAAGAATTATACATCATAAATTGAATACCCAAGGAAAAACTATAATTGATTCATGAATTAGAGACAAATTGATAAAGTGAACAATCATCCAACACTTAAACGCCTTGTTCATATCCTAGAGAAAGTTGTTCTATATAGACTTTGTTGTCGTAATGGTTGAACAAAAACTGGCGGCCGAAAAATCTAAGTGGGGTAAAAGATAAAAGAATGTGGTGTTAGCTGACCCAATAAAAAAAAAAAAAAAAGCATTTCAAAACTGAGAAAGACGAGTAGACCTTTGTAAGTTGATCCAACAAAACCCAGCACCTAAAATTCACAAGGCTTCCAAAAGCAAGACCGAAGAACATTTTCTAATCAAAATTCATATGAACACAGCATTCATAAACCATGAAAGCCTTTACATTGAAGGGTTACTGGAAATTGGAATTACTGGCAGAAACTAAAAAGACCTCACCAGTTCCATGGCAATGCTGGGCAGTTGGCCCTTCAAACTTTATACTATGACTATTGCAAGTGCTTAAATTCATGACAATCAGCTCCAACTTCATTCAGTGCTAAGAAAAGCTTTGGCACAATTTTAGCTAACATCAGCTTGAAACCTACGGAAGTTGAATTTGCATTATCGTTATCACTTACAGACGCATCTTCAGTGAGAGAACCAATTAGGTAGCCTTTCATATATGCATCACAGGCCTTCAGAATGTGGTAACCTCGCCTTCTGAAATGGTCTTTAACAAGCTCTTCAAAGTCCTGCATGTGTCATAAACATGTTGACAAGTAACTAGTAAGCACATTGCTGTTCTACGGAGGGTTTTTGCATTTGGTAATAACCAAGAGAAACAATTGAAAAAATCCCATATCTAGCAAATAAGTCAGCCAACAAAAAAAAAAAAAAAAAAAAAAAAAAAAAAAAAAAAAAAAAAAAAAACGAGACAGGGGACGGTGAAACAAATTATGGGCAAGAAATCAATCACCACTTCCTGAGCTCTGTATATTAATATACCACCATCACTGTATTAATCGCTTACAGAAAGTGATACTTATTGACTCAAATTTACCATGTTACTTGAATATGCAATTGATTCTTGATGCCAAGTCATGTTAAGGCACACCAAGTTAAAACTAAATTCTAAATCCAATGGGGTGGCACCTCAATCTTGTTCCAAATATCTTAAAACAGATTCATCGCAGTCCACAGAAGACACATACCAATAACAGATTAGCAACATGACTGACAAATAACTAGGCCAGGTGCAACAAAGAAGAGGTAAATGATATTTAATAATTTTAGAATAGTAAGTAAACTTAAGTTAAGATTACCGAAAATGACAGCCTTAGTCAATTTTTTTTTTTTTTTTAAGCATTAACAATCTGAAGCAATATAAACGAAGAATCAGTTATTTGGGTGGAAATGGCATGGTTTTTTGAGATGCATCCAAAACTTTTAACAACTGAAAAAACAAAATTATGACCCAATATTTTTGACACTCATGTCTCTCTCGATTTAAGGTTAAAGAAATAACCAATGTAATATTATAATTGCCAGAAACTGATAAAAGTAAACGATAAGCAGGATAATGGGAAGTAACCATCACCTTTGGGGGTTTCCGCATAAGATACATCATTGTCTTGCAGTTAAGCAAGAAAGTATTCTCATTGTATGCCAAAGAATTTTTCTCTCCCTCAGCTGTTCCAACTTGCTTATCATACCCAGCTTCATTAAAATATGGCTTAGAATTTAGCACCAACCCCTGAAGTGAAACTAGAACTTGAAGGATGCTAGATGAAGCTGAATCCCACACTTCATTTCCTCTGCCAGTCCACGTATTCAGAAGGCTAAGGCACACATTGCCTTCCTCGTATAAATTTGGATTTATCCTCCAACCACCAGAATGATAGTATGCAGACTGCACCATCACAGAATCGGTCAGGAAAAGACAAAAAGACTACTAAATCCTTTGTCATCAAATTCAAAGATAAGCAAAATTGTGTAAATTTAGTGAAATAAGACCAACTTATAGCTTATAAATAAAAACATTTAAAAGGATTTGAAGGGCA